AACCGCCTTAACTTTTTAATCGGTATGAACCAACCAGCCCCAACCAAGGTTTTATTGCATACCAGGGGGCCAGCTGCAGCCTCCAGTGGCTGATAGACAGCGAGAAAACGGATTCGGTATGTCTGGGGATCAGAGACGATTGCAGAAAAACGTGGCTCTGCTGGCGTGACCTCAGCAAAGACGTTAAGCCTTCCTACACCTTCCGTCACAAGTTCACTCTCGAAGCCAATTTGCTTATGTTCACAGCTAGAATCTTCGTGCAAACACCTTTCAGATCTGAAAGTCATTGCTTTCTTCACAAAGGACATTTTGGCATTAATAAGACTCAGGCTCGAGCTAAAGACACAATGTGATGGCCAGGATTGACGAAAGAAATTGAAGAAGGTGTTAAGAGCTGTCAGAGAGAGAGAGAGAGTCGGAAAAAGAAGAACAGAGCGGTTAACCTAGGTTGGAGTCCTGGTTGGCTACTCTGTTTTAGGGAGGGGGTAGTGGGGAGTTAAAAGAGGTATTAAAGGATAAGAGGACATAGAACAATAAACATGTCAAAAAAAAGAAAAATAAATAGTGACACGAGAGCACAAACTCTAGATCACATTACAAATAAAGTACGTGCGTCCTTTAGAGGCAGAAGCTCAGCCGCGTTTCCTTTAGGAAACGCAGAAAAGCTTTTATGGCCCTCGCTGCATTCTGAGGGCTGTCCCAGGTTCAGAGTTGCATAGAGACATCAACGAACAGAAAGATGCCGTTTAAACCAACAGACGTTCCTCAGATATTTTGAAGACGGGTGGTCATCGATTTGTTCTGCTAGAAGGAGCAGTGGTGGTTGATTATGACCGACTATTTTATGCAGATACCCATAAATCACTCACTTGGAGAGCAGAACCGCACAGGTCGCTCTCCAAGTGAGCGACCTGTGCGGACAGGTGCAAATCTATATTCGCTCGAAACAGAATTCCAGAAGTTGTGGTATCGAACAATGGCCAACAATTTGTAGGAGTTTCAACCTCAGAGTTTTCAAGTTTGCTAAACAAATATGGTTTCCTACATGTTTTCCGTCGATCCCTCATTGTCCACAAAGTAACTGACTTGCGGAGGCTGCAGGAAAATAATAAAAAAGCTCCATGGACAAGGCAAAGCGCACCTATGAAACCCTGCTCTCGTATCAAGTTACACCTTTAAAGAATGGATACAGCCCATCCGAGCTGCTTATGGGACGCCGATTGCGGTGAAAACTTCCTGTTCCGAACAGCCTTCTCAAACCAGCCATCCAGCACAGTAGCTCGAAAAATTTAAAGCAGGTTACCGACTCAAGCAAAGGTGGGCCTACGACGAGCGCCACGGTGTCTGAAATCTGCCAGACATTGCCGATGGTGTACACGCATCGGTCGTTGATCTCCACCACAAGGGTACCGTGGATGGGCCAACGTCGGAGCCACGCTTATATCTCCTGTACACCGGCCAAAGCGAAGTACGAAGAAATCGCACACATTTCATATTTTACCAAAATGGACTCTCTCGCAAACTCAATAATTAACCGATCTCACTAAGTGTTCGGCTCATGCGTGACACCGCTATAACTTTAGTTCACATGAGGCAGACGGCGGTGCACGAGGGGGTCTGTGACGTCTCGTGCTCTACACACGCAGTGCTCCAGCGCGGCTGTCGCAAGTGAAAAAAAAAACTAAGTTCCCTCGATTACTACGAAAGCGGTGGCTTAGTCAAACTGGCTGGTGAGATCGGTCTATTCAGTGGATATACGGATGGAGATGATTAAGACAGGCTGTAGGAGGGATACAGACTGCAGGAGGGACGTGTCAACACATCACATCCTCACGCAATAAAACTCGGCTGCCTTAGATGTACTTCTCGATATCGAGACAACTGGCTTCCTCCAAGGGAAAAGGAATGTGTCGTGTCGGCTGGTCACGCCTGGTGGTCAGATCTAGCGAAGTTCGGAACGACGAAGTTGTGCTCATGCTTGCACGGGCAGGGGATATCTATCGAATGCTAGCAGAACTGGAACGATGCCAGGACCGGCTATACTCCTGTTAATAGGAGCGATGACATTAAACAGGGACAAATATTGGACATGGTTGCCGCGTCAACGATCGGATGGGAATCTCAATTGTCGCTTAATGAACACGAGGCTCATCAGCAAGGTGACGAAGCACTCGTGTTTAATCTAGGTCCTGCAAAGGCCTGCGTTATTTGAAAATGAAACTTTTTTACTACGGCCTTGTAAGCTAAGATTCGTTGGTCCTCTGTTTTCATTCGGGAAGATAGTGCTTCCCTATATTAATTTGACGCAATACGGAACTCAATAAGTTATTGCAGCAATATTCGAAAGACTGTCTCCTTCGCCTCCGTAAAGTGCGAATGTAATCACCACATGGATTAATAGTGCGTTTCGGTATTGCTATTGTGCCTGGAGCACGTCTTCGAGTTGTGTGTTTAGCGTCCTATCCTGCCCATACATCAAAAGTGGTCCCGAAGTGACAACGAGTGACATCATTAAAACCGGAGTGTCATGCTGTTGCACGTCGCGATCCTGGCGGTTGGTTGTTGAATTGATAACGAGAAGCTGCGAGTGTTACAGCCGAACGCGAGTGTCGCTGTCGTCATGACGTCCCAACTTCTGGCTGCCGAACCTTCCGTGGACTGCCACACTGGAAAGGGGCTTGCTGCAAAACAGGCGTCTGCCACGTCCACCCCCACAGCTGGGACACCACCAGGTACGCGACCAGCGGCGGCATGGCACTTCTCTGACGTCATCAGGTGGAAATCGAGGGACCACTTTTTTGGACGAACTAAACACGCCAGTCAGAGACGCGTTCCAGGTATCATAGTATTACGCATGCGAGACAACGCAAGCATTTTGTATTTACGTTAGCATTGCGTGGTTCACGCTGGGCGTGTGCTAAGCCCAAAGTGCGTCTTAGATTGGCGCATCGCAATGGCGCGCACGCGCAGCGCAAGCACGCAAAGCTTACGCAAAAGCAGAGAGCTTGCGTTGGCTTCTATATGCAATCAAAAATAGCTACTTATATATATTATACTCTGTTGCACCTTAGCTCTGACCTTAGCCAACGCTACGACTCTATGAAGCCAATCGAAAAGAGCCAAAAGTGCATCTTCTTGGAGCTCGCCAACTTCGCGCGTTTCTTATCACTGGGTGAATTATTCGAGCACAGAAAAAAAATCTAGCGGATCACGTAGTATTCACTGTGCGTGATCAGTTCAGCAGGTGATAGCGAACGCACCATAACGAGGCACACTTGGCGCTGCTCAGTTGGATTCTCCAGATTGTAGCGCTGCTCAATTGAATTCTCCAGATTGTAGCGTCCGCGGCGGTCGTACTTGTTGTTAAACAGTGTATAGACCAAGTCAGCTTTCTGACGTCACGCCACTGCGGTGGCGCTGCCGTCGGCCCTGCGCAGACGCAAAAGATTCAGCTCACGCGAATCTGGTTTCCGCGCACGCGCAATGCCCACACCCGTTGTGGGCAAATGCGGGCTTGTTTGTAAACATTGTGTTGGTGTATTCCTTGAATTCAAATTTTGCTATAGATAATTTTCTTTTCTTTGATTTCAGATGAGCGCAGTACACCGCCACGGTTTTGCGTCAATTGTTATTGTGCGGTACACGTAATGAAATGGACCGAATTTTATTCGTGACAGCGAAGACTGATTGTAGTCATATTTCATAGATAAATATCTGCCCACAATAAAAGCATCCACACAACCAATGCGACGTCACGTTATGTAGATTACAAAATAAGGTATTTTTTCTAGCACGAGGGATCGCGTGAGGGCACACAAAAAGACATAACCAAGTTAAGGTTTTATAAGCTAAACACGTGGCAGAATTCTGCATTATACTTTTTCACTACCCAAAGTGATCATACGTCGCAACTCCTGGCAAAATATTCTTTTTTTTAAACAGTTGCTGAATTTTTTTAGGAGACTTAATGCCTTTTTGTTCATGGTTTGCATGGAGATGACACATTACGGTAAAAGACGCGAGTACCACATCAGCACAAATAAAAATCTCCAATCTAACGCGAACTTGATGAAACCAGTCTTGCTAAAACCAGTCACATTGAAGCAGAATTCATTCGGCCGGTTCATAGACTTCCTATCACTGAATTACTAAAAACAGAACCCCTTGTTCGCAAACACCCGTCTAAGTTAAAAGCTGTGACGCAACCTAAAACGACAAGATTCTCCACAAATTATACTTACAGCACCATGGTTGAAGGAAAGATTCCTTCATTTATGATACTGAACGCATAATAAATAAATAAAAAGGGAAGCGTCGTAATTTCTGCATCTGACACGATTCTCCACTTTCGAGCCCTTTTTAGCTCCTCTGCCAGGAACAAGCACCGCAACCTCAGGACACATTTAAAAGGATATGCAAGTAAAGTATACTTCGAACATAAAACTCCGCTACAAACGAACGCCAGTTGAAAAACACAAAAATAAATTGCTCTTCGTCATGCTTGGCTTGGGTGTTGTAAGGTAGAATGTGGTTATGTGACGGCGTGTAACAGACGCACACTTGCTTGCACTCTGCAACGGGTGGACCAAGTTTTTAATTGTAAAACAGTGCTTTCGTCATCCTAAATAATATACCCTTATTTGCCTTACTCTTTATCTATATTTTCATTTCTTCGTGAAGTTTTGTTTTTTCTCGCTGTTTATTCCCGTGCTATTTTTCTAACAATAATATTTTCTGCGTCTTATCACACAAGCCTAATCCCGCGTTCATTGTTTAGATGGCAAAGATATTGGAAAACTCCCCGAAGTTCTTGGGGAGTTCTCGTTAGAGACTAACCGAGCGTAAGTTTCCAAGAACACCACTCCGTTTGTCTTGCAACAGAGGTCACGTCATATATTCCGGAACCACTCTTTTAGAGGCCTGAATTTGCACGTCTTTTCAGGTAAAAGTAAACTTTTACCTGTGGGCACGGCAACCGTCCGAGCGACAAGTTATCTAACATGCCCCTTCTTTTCGTGATACAACAGATGATGCTGCTGTGCACCGCATGTCCCGTTCCTGCGTTGGGGGCGGCAACCATCGTTCCAAGACTTGCAAGACCAAACCAAGCGCCAACGTTGCTACCGCACGTCAGCATCGGCGTATTGCACGGACATCAAGCAGCAGCCATGACTCAAGGCCAGAAGGGTACAAGAGCACGGCCCGAAGCAGCTTTCGTCAGTGGGCACGGCAACCGTCCGAGCGACAAGTTATCTAACATGCCCCTTTTTTTCGTGATACAACAGGTTAGTGAAGGCGATTGCATGTGTTTCAAATCTGACAACCGATGTATTATTGTTCTGCCGTGCCCACGAGTGTTTTTTGCCTGTGCCTTGCAGTGTCGGGATAATTTATTCTTGCTTCTTTCTGGGGACGTCGAGTTAAATCCGGGCCCGGATACAACACTGGAAAAAATGATTAAACAAGTTCTTGAAAATCAAAAGCAAATGAGTAGTGAAATTAAAGAAGTGAAGGAAAACCAGGTTACGTCCCAACAAAGACAGGACGAAATGGCTGCAAAGATCACCCGCCTTGAAACGGCTCTAGACGCCCTCCAGAAGAGCAATCGAGATATTGTTCAGCTACGGGGAACAGTTCAAAAGTTAGAAGAACTAGTTCATATACAACAGACTAAAATAACAGATCTTGAAGATAGGGCTAGAAGAAACAACCTAATAGTGTTTGGTATTCCCGAAACTCGCAGCGAAACAGATGATGACTTGAAAACTAAGGTAATTAGAGACGTTTTTGAACAACAGCTAGGCGTGACTGTGAACACGGTCGAGCGAATTCACAGACTTGGGAAAAAAAATGAAGGTAAATGTCGCCCTGTCATCATGAAACTGTATGATTACAATGAAAAAGTTCAAGTACTCCAGAATTGCAAGAAACTGAAAGGGTCAAAGATATCGGTGTCCAATGATTATTCGCATGCTACTTTACACAAGAGACGGAATCTTTGGCAAAGTGCAAGTGAAGAAAGGTCCCGAAGATTACGTGTGAGGCTTGTACACGATAAGATGCAGATCGGTGACGAGACGTTTATTTGGAATGATGCTGTTGGCTGTCGCGAAAAAGTCACGGATTCCCGGAATTCACGGTCGGAAAATAAATGACGATCAAAAATTGAGAAGGAAAAATGCCTCCGGCTTATTAATTTGAACGCGAGAAGCCTTGTTAATAAAGTGGACGAATTGGAGCACCTACTTTTAGTACATAACCCTCATATTGTTGTTGTTACTGAAACTTGGCTGCACGACCAGATAAGTGATTCCGAGCTTCTTCCGCCATCCTACAAAATAATCAGGGAAGACAGAGGATCCCGTGGAGGTGGAGTTTCTATTATCTATAAGAATAACATAGCCTGCATCTTGATGGCCGACTGCACTGATACTGAAAGCTTGTGGTGCAAAATGACGTTTTGTGGACATACCTATGTGATTGGTGGAGTATATAGAGCTCCTGATTCCCCAACTACGTTCCTGGAGGCTATTCATGATTACCTACAACAAAATGTGACCGATCACTCCAAGATAATAATTGCTGGTGATTTTAACCTACCCGGAGTTAAATGGGATGACTTAGAACCAGGACCAACTGAAACCAACAATGGCGAACTTTTATTGGACATCGCTTTTTGTAACGATCTCGTGCAGGTGGTTCAAGAACCTACTAGAATAACTGGGTCATCTAGTTCTATACTTGACTTAATTTTTGTCTCTGAACAATTAACAAATTATGAAGTAAGCGTTGAAGACGGACTGTCAGATCACAAGATGGTATTGCTATCCTGCAAAGTCGCAACAACGTGCAGAACCGCAAAGTGCTTAACCACGCAAGTGTATAACTTTAACAGAGCCGATGACGTCAGTATTCTCGACCATTTAGAATTACAACTTTCTTCCCTAGAGGGTGTGGAAGACTTAAATGAACTATGGAATCAATTTAAAAGCTTAGTTTTCTTCTGTCTGGATAGATTCTTTCCAAAAAGGGTTAAGCGCGTGGCAAGACAAAACCCGTGGGTTACCCGAGAAATAATTCAACTCAAACGTAAGATAGCTCGCAGCCGCAAGAAAAAAACTTGTAATACCACACTTATTCAAGAACTATCGCGTACCCTGAAATGTAAACTAAAGGACGCAAAGGAAAAGTATTTTTCAGAATCCATGCTTCAATTTATGAGAACATCATCACAAAAATTTTGGCGTCATCTCGCGCCGTCACGGGTGGGTGTGGAATATGTCACCGATAATGACCGTATCATTACTGATCCCGCCAGAATGGCAAACGTGTTTAATAATTTTTTTCAATCTGTTTTTGTAGATAGCGAAAACACACATAAAAGCGTTGAAGAGATAAGAAGCGCGCGGCTCTCGGCTATGCCAGATCTGATTATCTCTGAGCATGGTATTTTTGCTTTACTACTAGAGACCGACACAAAAAAATCACCGGGACCAGACGAAATTCCCAACGCATTCTTAAAGCGTTACGCGGAGTGGGTGTCCAAGTACCTATTTGTTATTTTCACTAAAAGTTTAGAGCGCCATCAAGTGCCTTCGGACTGGCTGACAGCGAGAGTCGTACCAGTGCACAAATCGGGAGATAAGCATTCAGTTAAAAATTATAGGCCAATATCGCTGACGTGTGCTTGTTGCAAGATACTTGAGCATATTGTGTCTAAGGAGCTGTATAGGTTTCTTGAAGATTCAAACATATTTTTTTCTAACCAACATGGGTTTCGAAAGTCACTCTCGACTGTAACACAGCTTGCTGAAACTGTACACGACTTTGCCAAAGCTGTTAATAATAGAAGGCAAATTGATGCGATATGTTTGGATCTATCAAAGGCCTTTGATCGGGTGCCTCATTTCGAACTTATTCATAAATTACAAAACCTGGGGGTAAATGAAAACACTGTTTTGTGGATTAAAGCCTACCTCACAAATCGAATACAGTATGTGCAAGTAAACAAAAAGAATTCAGCTATTGTAAGTGTACCCTCCGGCGTTCCCCAGGGGTCTGTATGGGAGCCCGTATTATTTTTGTGTTATATAAACGACATTACGGAAAAAGTAGGGCCTAATGTTACTGTTCGGTTGTTCGCAGATGACTGCTTGTTGTATACAAATGTTTCTTGTCACCATGATCAGGTACAGTTAAATTACTCTTTACAGCAAGTACAAGAATGGTGTAAGCAATGGAAAATGAAGATTAATCGTGACAAGACAGTCTTTTCTGTGATAACTAACAAAAAAAAAAACGTTCTTCCATTTGTGTACGAATTTGATAACCAACCTTTGACTAAAGTTTCTCAATTTAAATATCTGGGCGTTACAATATCGTCCGATCTAAGCTGGAACGCACATATTGACAACATCTGCTCCGCAGCCAAAAAAAAGCTCTGGTTCCTTAAGCGCAACCTTAAGTACGCTCCACCTGAAACAAAATTAACTGCATACAAAACGTTAATACGGCCAACTTTAGAATACGCTTCTGTTATCTGGGATCCTTTTAGAAGTTACCAAATAAGCAAACTAGAAAGGGTGCAAAGAATGTCTGCTAGGTTTGTACTGTCGAAGTATCGAAGAACCGAATCAGTAAATGAAATGCTTAAACAGTTAAGTCTTCCCCTCCTTTCTGATCGCCGGAAAATAGCTCGTTTAAAATTTCTATTCCTGTTGAGAAATGAAATGTTTAACCTTAATACAAGTAACTATATAACGCCCCGTGTATCTAGGCATCTAAGAAGTACTCATCCATGTCAAATGAATTTAGAGAAACCAAATAATGATACCTATAAGTATTCTTTCTTTCCAAGAACTATATCAGAGTGGAATAACCTTCCCGAAGAAATAGTATTAAGTGATACCCTAGCTTCTTTTGAAACATGCATTTCTAAATTGTATAATCAATACTAACGAACCTGCCCATCAGGCACTGGATAATTTATATTATATGTTTTTGATACTTAAATGGATTGGGACTTCCGTGACTCCATTTATTATCTGCTCATGTGTTCTTGTTGTTGTTTTTTTATCAGCCTTTGTTCGATGTTGTTTTTGCGCGCTCAGCAGCGTACGCTCTTGTAAGTTTTAGCACTGAGAAGATATTATACGTAAAAATGTTTTGTTGTGTATTCAGTGTCATTTACCAAAATAGTGTACTCTTGCCTTTCGTGAGTTGTAGTGTTCAAAAATGTGCCTTCATATGTACTACTTAGTGTTCTATTTTGTATATCTGTTACACTCCTGTAACAGCCCCAACGGGCTAACAGTATAAATAAATAAATAAATAAATAAAATAAATAAAAAAACTTTTTTAGCTTACTCCGCCTGGAAATTTACCTTAAATGTTAACATCTAACGCAGAACTTGAAACAGGTACACTTAGATAATCGGCGAATTCGGAACATAAAATTAACTATCAAATAACATCCTCTCTAACACACAAAAAATAAACACCTAAAAACAAAACCCCAGTCGTGAACCCGACATTGCAAGCATACTGTCCTTTACCATCCATTATGGGAAATCAATGTAAAACAATCTATGTCGCGAAACAAGTTCGATAAAAAAAACGAAGCTAATGACGACCTTAAAAGATTGCCTAATTCACCAATCATGCCGCACTTTAAAAAGGCGCACTTATTTATGATGAACCGTTCCAGGTTTATGCTACTTCCCTAAACAATCGTGGAAAAAAAATCACGTATTAATACCATTAGAAGTGTTACAAAGTATATATAAAACCTACCTCTTGTAGACATGGCTACTGAAGGTGTTAAGGCGCTAAACTGTGTTTGAATAGTCTAGATCCGTTATTCCGCCCTTTTTAAAGCGTTCTCATAATTATGTCCAATTTTGATTAATTTTTATTTCCGTATCATAGTGCTTAGGCGAGGGTACAGAACACCTCATAAGTACCGACGCAGTAGAGTTTAATGTCCTGCCACCCTTACAGAAGGCCAAAGCGGGGCACGGTTTTCACACGAATGATGCGTCATCATTCGTCTGACGCTCCTGCTAAGTCAATGAGGGCGCCGATCCCAACATAATATGATCAACACTTGTGTCCAGTTGCTGCTTTGAAATTTATATCTCAGCCAAAAATCGCGTTGTTATTGTATCAGATTTATGTGTTAGCGTCATGCGTTGAGGAACTGCCGTGTTTGACGCTTGAGCGCAAGCGTTTTTCTCGCTCCACAAAGATATCGTCTCTAACATTTTGTACACCACCCTACTAATGATTGCATTTGTATCCGTTTTATTTCTGAAAATTAAAATTAGTATTGCGGACAACGTCGACTGTTCTTCCCCTCATGGCTGATATTTTTGCTTCCACTGATTGTACATTCCACCCAAATACTCACTCATGTATAAATTTTTAGCGAGCGCAGTCCAAGTAGGAGAGCGTACACTTCGCGACACTGATAGCACAAAACCGGTATTGAATATTTTCGGCATTTTACTTCGAAAATAAATTGTCGGATAAGAACGTGTACCGTATAATTTAGTGCAGACTTGTACGTCATCCGTTACAAGTAAAGAAATTACTTGTAATCCCTTACATTTATCGGTAATTTAGTAACGGAATAATTACATAATTTCAAGAGTAATTTTAGAGTAATTCCCTTACATTTTTTACCTAACGGATTCCT